TTTTATATATGCTTTAATAATAAAAGATGACTTTTTTAGATGTATCAAAAGCAATACCTACATTATTGACTCCAAGAATTGATCCGATTCCAATTGCACATAAACCTCCAACTGAGACGCAAAGGATTGTACCAATCGCAAAAGCTTGTATAGAAAAAAAACTGGCTTTTTTATATCTAGTTAGTATTTCTAATTCGGTTAATTTAACATTTTTTGATGAAAAGTCTGATTGAAAAGATTTTGCTGTAAAATATCCGATATAAATCTTAGTATATTCAAAATTTACAATATATGTCATTTAATTTACAATATATGAGTCATTTACTGAGTTATTTACTTTTTCGTCGAGCATATAACAATGAACTGGCTACTCCAATAATAAAAGAAGTAGCAGACAATCAGAGTATAAAATTCCGATGACGATGGTGAAGAGAAGTAGTAGTAACGGTGGAATTCATTTGATTGGTTGTCTGATTAATATCTAAAGGACTTGATGATTGATTCATTATTATTTAACGTTAACGTTAATTAAAAAAGTTGTTTATCGAAATTTTGGGGGACACATCGATGTATATGGACAGATTTGACATTCTGTGATACAGTACAGGACGCCTTAAACCAGTAAGTAAAAACTAAAAATTCTTCATAAAAATAAGAAATATAACTAAAGAGCTTTTTTTTTGCAAAAATGTACAAAAAAATAAATAAATAAATAAATAAGCAGAAACAAGCTACAGAATTTATTTTTAATTTAATAAAATTTAACAATGGTAAAACTTTTTAAAATTATTAGTAAAATAAAAATATTTATATAAATAAATTATGTATAATTTTATAAAGAAATTCCGAATCCACTTAAATTCCGTTCCCACTTGCAACATATATCAAAACATAAAATTTAGCCACTTTTAAAAAAGTCGTTGGTTTAAGGTGTCCTCTGTATAAAAATGTGATTTTAATAATAATAATAACAAAAACAAAAATGCGATTTTTATCCACGAACTCAACGTTATTAAGTACATACAGTACTGAAAAAAAAAACATACGCGATCTCTGTAAACTTTTACGGGAGATATATCTATCACAGTTTAATTACGTTATAAAATTATTTTAGCTAATAAATTGTTTATGAATTAACTTTATATAAATGGAAATCGCCAATACTTTGCATTATGTATATACGTAAATTTTTAATATAAAATTCGAATTTTTTAAGTACGCCTTTTTTTTAATGGTTAGGGTCAGCAAAACTATATTACATTCAAACTGTAATTTTGAGTATATACCTTTTTGGTACGGTACAGTATTGGGTATTGGGTAAGGTACAGTACAAAAAAGTGGCTGTACCTAGAAAAATTTTTTTAAGCAGGGTACACAAAAAAAATAATAATTACTGTACCAAGTTTTTTTTTTTGATGTTAGGTATGCAAAAAAATAAACACTTAATAAAAAAAGTTTACTGTACCCAAATCTAATATTAAC